TATTATCAAATGGAAAAGTATTAGTCATTGGTGGATATAATAATGATTTTTTAAATAGTGCTGAGCTATATGATCCATTAACAGGTATTTGGACACCTACTGGTAACATGAATAATGTACGAATTTATCATACAGCATCTATATTACCAAATGGAAAAGTATTAGTTGCTGGTGGATACAACGGTAGTATTGCTTATAATAGTGTTGAGCTGTATGATCCATTAACAAGTACTTGGATAGCTACTAGTAATATGAATAATGCACGACAATGGCACACAGCATCTATATTATCAAATGGAAAAGTATTAGTTGCTGGTGGTTTAGGTGTTAGTAGTTATTTAAATAGTGCTGAACTGTATGATCCATTAACAGGTACTTGGACAACTACTAATAACATGAATACTGCACGACAAGAGCCCACATCATCTCTATTATCAAATGGAGTAGTGTTAGTTACTGGTGGATTTAGTAATCTCAATTTTTTAAACAGTGCTGAATTATATTAATTATTTTCAACAGATTAACTTTCAGTTATGTTGTTTTTTTTTGCAAGCAGTCCAAATTCCAAACAATACGTTTGTTAGAAGAACTCTCATTTTATGACGTCCGCGAACTGTATCCTTCCATATTTTTATTGGATTATCACACACTTTAATATTCGATCCCAAATAAAAAAGAATATTTATGTTTTTCTACTCTTGTAGATTAATTCAGGCTGTGAGTGTGCGTGTCGTTGAGGTTAAGAGAAGGGATACTCTCACCCACATCCACCCACCATAGACGCAGCAAACATTCTTTTTTCTTTCCATAATTTTTAAAAGTTATAATATTTGGAACATATACGAACTTCTCGATCAAAGAACAAAATTTTGTATAAGTTAACATATGTGTTAATATTATTGTAAAAAAATGAATGTGTAGATTTGTCTTCATCAGTTGCCTACACCATATTCTTATTCTTTAGGCGTGTCTTGTCTACACACTCTTAATCGTTAGTTAAGTAAGATTTTGGTATAATTCGATAATAATGATTTTACGTCATTTACAACTGTATGATTAGATAAAGTGGATAGGTTTTTCTATATAATTTATCTGTTGCTAACTGAGAAAACTTATCAAAACCATCTTGAGGGGTGGGTGTGGGTAGGTGCATGATATCTATGATATCTATGGTATCTACACCCACACACACTCCCTCACCCGATACACTTTATCAATATATTCTCATAAAAATGTATAAATTTTCATTAATTATATTAATTGTATTCAAACATCAAATGTTAATTTACGACAAGACCGGGTATGAGTGAGGTGAAAAAAAACCTACTCACATCCACGCTCACACCCTTAAATATAAAACTTTCTCTGCATGCTAGTAGTGCATATGACTATTTATTTTAATTCTGAATGATAATGAAAATGTAGAAATCAAAATGAAAAAAAATGGTATATTATACGATTGTTATGCGGAATGTTCGAATTTGCATTGGATTCAAAGTGATGTTTGTATCAACCAATGAATGTTGATCTATAGAAACAAAAAGATATTATACTCCGAAAACAATCTTTTCATTTGGATAACTTACTCGTAGAATTATTCGTTTGTAGTAATAGTTCATCGTTATCAGTTAACCAATGGAGTCTATTCATTTGAGATAATTCTAAATTAGCATCTAATGTTAACTCCAATATTTTCTCAATTATTCCAATTGATTTAAATATTGATTGTAGATCAATTTTAGTTGGATATGAATATTTTTCATCTTCATTTAATTCAAAATAATGTTCAAGACGAATAAGATATTGTTTTTCATTCAATTGATCTAATGTTAATAAATGAATATTTGAAGGTAATATATCGCTTAATGCAGACCATGTTTGATGATATAAATTTGAATAATTCATATAAGATGAATTAATTAATGCATATGTAACAAGTGGAGACATGAATAATTCTTGTGAATGAATACGATGATAAAGAGCACTTGTTTGAGGTAAATCAATATTAAGAAAATGTTTTCCACGAATAACAAGACCTTGACCAAATGCTGATTCATTCAATGCTTCACCAACACCCAAATTGTCATCATAAAGTAAACGCCGATGTATCATTAATTCAATTGAACCATCAATAAGACTTGCACCACCTTCTGAACGATCTATAAACAAAAAATTAAATTTAAAATTCTATATGATCAATATTCTATATTTTATTCTACCAGTAAGAATAGTAAATTGTCGATTTGTTTCATTAATCCAAATACGAGAATTAACTGGATAATAATTTCCACTAACTGGTTCAGTAATTGTATAATTATATGTTGGTCGATAATTTCTTATTCGTTGAAGAACTTCTCGTCCATTTGCATCTGTATAATATTTTGATTGACTTTTAATATCTGTATCATATCGAAGAATAATTTCTTTTCCAATATTATTTTCAATTGGAATAGGACCTACTGTCCACTCAATTTCAATATCTTCTCCTTCATCATAAAGATTAATTTCTTGACTAATCCATTCATTAAAAATAATAATTGCTGTTTGAACAAGTTCACTTTTAATACATTTTCTAAACAATAATAATAAATAATAATGTGAAACAATACTTAATGAAATGAAAATACAATGAACGTTTTGTAGATATTGGTTTTGCATCTTGTGTTAATGGTCGAAAGATATAGGCACCTGATGCTTGAAAATCAAATTGAGAATTATTACCAGAATAACCTTATAAGATAGAAGAATGGTATACAACTTAATTAGAGTAAATTAACATACTTTGATACCAATAAAAGCCTTGATTAAGAAATGTAATATTAATATTCTTTTGAAGATTTATAATACGTTTTAGATTTCCTTGTTCATCAACTTCAATTCGAAAATTCTATAAAAAAATCAAATAAAATATTTCATTTATTATTATTTCCTCGTACTTGATTTTGTAAAATACATATTTCATTTTTAGTTATTTCTAATTTTTCTTCTTCTTCTTCTTCATTCACTACAAAACAAAATCTCAAATTGAAAAGAAATACAATTAAAATCTAATTACCTTGAAAGAAATACGTATTAAAACCCAATGCTGGTAAATTATATTTAAAAATCAATTGATTTGTTGCATTACTCATTCGACCAGGTATTGTTTTCGTTGAATTTGAAATTGGAATTAACTCAGAGCGAATTGGTCCGCTAGAATCACGAACTGTATAAGATCTTTTAACAGGTACACATAAATAACTGAAACTTCAACCTTCGAGTTTGATATGTACGAAAAAACTAAATGACTATCGAATAAATATTTCTTTCTTATTTTACTTGTTTTGCATTTTCAATTGGTAAACATTCACTTATATTTGTTAATTGACAAAGAAATTGTTGAATTTCTACTGTCGATGATTGATTATCTTTTGTTAATAGTTTTGGATAAGCTGTATTAATTACATTTTAAAATTGATATGTATATATCAAATAAGAATCAATTTGTAATTAAAATATACAGACAAGTGCTGCATCAATTCCAATGGATAATCGTTGTGCATAATCATTTGCAACATGTTGTTTTTCTGTTCCACTAACTGCATCATGATGTTGAGCAATAGCCATTGCTTCACCTTTATGTATAATATTAAAATAATAAATGAATTAGAAGAAATTGATTTTTTACTTAAACTGAAGATTTGATTTCGTAATTGACTATTAGGAAATGTATTTAATTGTCGTATTACTTGTAAAATATTATTTGAATAACGTTCAAAACGTTTTAAAGCTGGTCGTGATGTAAAATATCCTGTCCAAAATCCATGTGGATGATGTGCATGTGGAAAAAAATCATCAGTTTTTGTTATCCAACTACGATTAACTTTATTTAATGCATATAAATAACAGGATGGAGTCGAATAGAAAACATTTACATTACTACCATTTATTTGCTTTAGTGAAATTCAATAAATTTTCATTTCGTTAAAATAGAAATGAAATATTTGATTAATTTATCTAAATTTTTATAATTTGCCAAAGTATTTTGATATTGAAAATTACCACCAAATGTCATTATAATATGATTAGTTGCATATTCCATTGATTCATTCTGAGCTGTTTGAATAAATGTTTGAACACGTTCTGGTACATTATAATCTGGTAAATTTACATCATCCTATAATAAATAGACAGATATGATATAGAACATATGAAATCTATTGTATAACTATGATCGGATCATCTGGAGCAATAAAATCAAACGAGAATGTTGCTGGAGTTGAATATCTTCGAGGTAAAATACCAGTAAATAACCAACTTTGACGATCTAAATTAGCACTTGCTTTCCAAATCATTTCCATTGTTTTTGTTGTATTACGTTTTTGAAGATCTTGATAATCACAGCACGACCAAAGAATAAACCATCAAAACCCATCTGAGGATAATTTGTATACACTTTTTTTTATATAAAAAGAATTGATTGACTTGTACAAGAAGAGAAGCTTGTTCACGTGAATGACCAAATTGATCATTTAGAAATTCCAGACCTAAACTATGTTGATCAATGATTGAATTATAATGTGTTGTTCCTTCATCATTCATACACCAACCACCAGAAATAAATTCAAGACGACCTGAATTAACAAATTCTTTAACTTTATCACGAATTTTATCTGTTTGTTGAAGCCACCAACGATAAAAGAAAGCCATTTCAACATAGATAAATCGTCGATGAGGATTTTCATCTAATGCAAGAACAAGATGAACATTGAGTTTTACTGCATCACCCAAATTACATGTCTAATAAGATTTATTCGATAAAATCACAATAGAATATTCAAACTCACTTACATCATAACCACATTTATTCAATGATTTTACTGAATTTGTCAAAGTGATTATATTAGAAATTAATAGAGATAGGCAACAAATAAAAAACTTCATATATTTTATATCGTAACTTTATTATTCACACACAAAAAATGTCTCGTTTACATGTGACTATCTTCTTTGGTTTTATAATCAATCATAGATAAGGAAAGTTAAAATAAAGAAGATATTCTAATATAAGAACAAATCTTGTAATTAAACGATAGAATAGAAGAGCTGATGTGTGTATGTTAGAATTCTTTTTTAAAATATATTATTAAAGGTATTAGTTAATGTTCTAACTGATCAGATGATCAATATTTGTTCACTTGTTTATCGAATCACTGTTAGATATAGTATCAGCATCGTTAGAATTGACTAGGGTGTGGGTGTGAAAGTAGATATACCTTAGTACACCCACACCCACCCACACCCTCAAGATTGAACAGGTTTCACAAAAAATTGACACAAAATCAATGCATTATACATAGTTGGTCTTGTTTTTATTTAGATGAAATGAATATGAAAACACTTTTTATGATGTAATGTCATTCTTAAGAAATGAAGAAAATAAATCTAAACTTTTGATCGACACACAGGGCACTGGTCGCTTCCAACTAACCATGTTCCAATACATGATGAATGAAAATAATGACTGCAGTTTGGTAAACCATTCACTATTGCACCTTTCACATAAGTATCGATACAGATAACACATGAATAGGTCTCCTTATTAACAAATTCTTCTTGAATTGTCCAGGTAGGTAAGTTTCCTGTAGTTGTTGAAGATACAGAAACAGTAGCAGTAGTTGTAGCAGCACTAGTTGAACTTGAAGCGCCGTTGGCGTTCAATCTTGCTAAAGGATTCAATACTCCATTCCTACGCATTTGTTGAATTCGATCTTGTCGTTCTTTTTGATGTTTAACAAATGTACCTGAGGAAAAGAGATAAATAGAAAAAACATATTTTCTTGTGTGATTCGTGCCAAAGATAGACTGATCGAGTCCTTTTTGACTGTGTAAGAATTGACATGTCGTTTCAATAAAGATTAAGTGTTTTCTATTTCGATTTTCTCTTATACCATAATAAAGACTCACTACTCGACTTGACTCGAGAATTTTCTAAAAGCTCGATTGGAGAAAGTCCTGACTCACTCATTTCTGACTTTAACGACCACTTGTTCAACTCACCCTCGAAATTATGCCATGCCATCATAATACCTTCATCAGTGGGTAAACCATTTGTACCGAACACTCGTATTTCAACAACAAAGTCTGTATTAATTGGTCGTTTACCATCACTTCGACGATTACGTACACTCACTCTCAATTTTGAATTTGGTACTTCCCATTCATACATATGTTCACATGTAGTACTCTCAAAATCAGACCGTGAAATAAATTTAAATAAACCAACTTCCTTAGCTGGTTGTGTTGTGCTATCACTTCCATGATAATTAGCAATATTTCTTCCAGCAAGTTTGATTTCATCGTTTTTTTGTGAAATTTCAAAAAATTGTTCAGCTTTCAGAATGAGTGTACGTTTTTCACCGGATTGGATAACCTTTTTTAATTCTATATGCACATCATTATCAACATAAGTTAAATTTATATGTGGAGCATGAGCACCTGCACCACCAGGAAGTCGTACTCTGTTGCTATCATGTCGTCTTCTGTTGTAAGAAAATCGGTGAGACATAAATTTCGGCATAATTTTTGTTTAAATATTAAACTTCGTATGATATTTCACTTGAAATAATGTTTCAGTTTTGAGACTGTGATGAAATGTGTTTGCTAGATTTGTCTCGCCTTTTATATTCACCTCTTCTTGGGAAAAAACCCAACAAAAGTTAGTCACAACACGTCTGACTGCGTCTTTTTTTTGTTCCTTTCCTTCCATGCAAATATTTTTCTTTTTATAAATAAAACAAGTTAACAAGAATACTTTTTTCATTTTTATTTTTGAAGGCAAAAAGAAAAATAAATTATTAACAGAACATAAGAAGGAAAAATAAATAAAAAAATAATTGAGGAGTGGGAAAATGTAGAGGTAGTTATTTAACGGTACTATTTATTTGCTAAGTAAAATAATCGAAATGCTAAGTAGACTTTCACTACCTAAAATTTATATTTGCTCAGTAAATAATTTAAATCTAAGTAGAATAATTAGACGCTAAGTAAATATAAAGTTTCTCAGTAAAAAAAACCAATTGCTAAGTTAATAAATTAAAATCATAATAAAAAACTACATTTGGTCAGTAAAAATTTTAATTACTAAGTAATTTATTATAAAGACAAAGTAATTCTAAAATGTCAAATCAAAGTTTCTTTACTTCTATGATGACGTCTATATTTTTCCACACCCACACCCAAGGTGCACTTGAAGCTACAAACAGGGTCATCAATGATGGACACACATTTAGAGAACGCCAACCGCTTTCAAGATTTTTTACTATTGTAAATGACATTGTACATAATTAGCTTAAATCTCGTAATCCAAATCAATCAGATCCAGTCGGGTTTTCAGCAGAACCAACGATTACACTTAAGAAATGGATCGATGCATATCATTTTGCAAAATCGTCAAAGTCAGTTTTGCAACAACCATCAAAAAAAAAAGGTTTTACTGATTATTATATACCATCTGGAAACGTAGAGAATGTTACAATAAATGAAATTCATAGATATAATAGGAAGAAATGGACATCATTTGATCAATTTAAAGATATTCATTTTTCAATATGGAAGACAAGTTTACCAAACAATGTACTAGAATGGAAAAATGAGATTTGTAATTGTCCAAGTTTCTTTAAAGAATATATTTGCAAACATATAGTTGGCATGGCAATTAGGGTGTGGGTGTGGGTATGAACTAAACACCTTTCCATATTAAAAGCCTTCGAGAGCTTCTAAACTATCGAGCGCTTAATGTTTTTGGAGAAGACCTCTGTTAGGTTCTAACATTTTCGAAAATTTCAGGTACAAACATTTTTCTAAATTATTAAAGGATTTTAAGAGTTTTCAAAGAGTTATTCGAAAGATTTCGAGATTTTAATACTGACTAATGAAAATTTAACAGATTTTTACTTAAAAAAATCCTAGAATTAATAAAATTTGACTATGAAAATACCAGTAAACATTTTTAAAAGATTCTTCAAAAATTCTTAAAATAAGGGAGATTTCTAACGCTTTTCAAGTCAACTCCTTCAGGACGAGTTTTTGTTAAGATAAAACATGTTTTATTCTTTTTGTTTCTATTCTTCGTTTCTTCATCATATTCCTTATATTTGTAGTCTCATTCTGCTGCAAAACTAAACACATGAAGAATGATACTGTAGTAGTACTGAGACTAAATTAGATATTGAAATTATATATGTGGTTTTTCTATGATTCTATTCAAATATTTTAGACACTGATACTCATATTATTTTTTATTAAATAAGAAAAAAAAATTAGAAAAAAAGCAATAAGTTATAATTGAATATTTAAGCAGCACTGTCAGATAATGTATACTGAATTGTCGCAGCTGTATCTGAGGACCAATCTCGTGGTGTCGAATCTTCTTCAGTTGTTTCTAATGATAATGATATCTTTATTGTCATCCCTAATTGTAGAGTTGGTCGACCGGTATCTTTGTTAAGTAAGAATCCTTCAAATGGTGCTCGCATTTCAAATTCATTACCTTTTTCACTTCGAGAATAACTAATTATACCATTAAATGGTCCTGGTGCTTTGTCTTGAGTAAAACATATGTAATTGTTACTATATGGACGAGGTAGTCTATATGGTCCATCTAAACATCGTTTAATTTCACTTTCAGTTGGTTTATGTTTCCAATAAATGTATTCCGTGTAAGACTCATAAATTGCTGGACGAAATATAAACTGATTCCTTTTATTTTCATGTTTTAAATAATTTACTTCCGTGTTGTTATTAGCGGCATGATCGAGATAAACATCTTGATTAAATGAACCATTAAAAAATTCGACTTCAAAATTCCCATCAAATCCTGGTGCAGTTGGATGATAAGCACCTCCATGTAACCAATAACCTGTTGTATTATCATTATCAATATCAACTGTAGCTATTACATAATATCTTCCAGCTGACGATTGTGATGGATTATTTTTATCAAATTCATTTGGTCCAACAGAAGTCTTACCAATAACTCCACCATCAACTACACGATAATAGGCATATAAAGATGTATCATCGTGAGCTATTTTAAATTCAACTATATTCACATTTGGATTATAAACATGTGTTGGTATAGGATCTGGTTGAAAAGTATCTGCATCATGACAATCAGGAAATTTTAGGGAAGGAAACCATGGACTTCGATCATAAACTGTACCATCGATATTATCTTCTGGATCAGTATAAGATGGAACATTTTTCCAATCATCAAAATTACCATCAATTTTAATATTACGATTTATTGGATCAGATTTTACCAGATGAATTATCAAATAAATAAAGAGTATCTGCTTCAAAATACTCATAATTATTCCCAGCTGCTTGAAGAATTAAATCTAGAAATATTGAAAAGTGTGAGTATATATTCATATAGTGCTAATAAAGAAAAACATATAAAAAGAAGTGAAGTACGAGCACTTTTTATAGCTATACTGTCCTTTGCTATACTTATCTTGTCGACTCACAATCTCTTTTGTATGCTTAGTAAGGTGACTTGCAAGGCCATGTCCTGTATAACAAACACTATAATGATAAAAATGAAAATATTCGGTACTTTATATATCTGTTTCTGCTTACTCATAGCCATTTTGACCTATCCTTTTTTTTCTTTTCTTCTTCATGACTTATCTTTGCATTATTTTTCTTTTGCAAAGCTAAACATGTAAATAATACGAACAAACTATTCACAGGATGATGCAAGAAGTATGAGTTATGAATGTAAAAACACATCTTCATTCAGAACCATCTTGAGGGTGTGGGTGTAATAAAAAAAATACTCACACCCACATCCTCAATAATTTTCATAAAATAAAAACTATATCCTTCAATGATAAATGATACAAAAGAAAAATTATTGTTGTAATTTTTCATTATGTTAAACAAAGATGAGAAGACTTCTCGAATCATTTTCTTTTAAATAAATCGAATGATTTTATTTTATATGTTAACATTTATCTAACTATATAGGATTATGTATATCTTATTGCATGAAAATACATATTTTTTAATAAATAGTTATACAGTGATGAACAAGAATAAAGCGATTGAAGTTATTTTAAATATTTGTCTCGTCTATTAAGCTAATCGAGTTTTCAGGTCGTTTTTTTAATGATGATTTATAATAAAATTTTTGTACGACAGGAATAACTTTCGTTTTTTTGATATGTTTTCTTGATTGAAGTCTTTTACATATTGGATCAATACCAAAATAATATTTTAATATATCCATTGTAATAATAAATAATGCAGTACTTATCAAAAAAATAATTGCTATATATCCAAAAGATTTCGAAACTCTTTCGAGGGTAACGATCATTCCAGATTCTATTTGACAATATCGACCAGAATAGTATTCACCAATACAAAGACATGTATAATTCGATGCTAATGATTGACAAACACCTTGATTATAACATGTTATATTTTTACAATAATTGATTTTTATTTCACAATGTACACCTTGCCATCCTTCATTACAACTACAGTTAAATGTTGTATTTGATGATTGATAACATATGCCTAAAATGAAAAAAAGAAATTCATTTTTTTCTTCTTTATATAGTTTGAATATACCATTATATGAACAAGTACGTAATTGACAAATTCGATAATCATATTCACATTCTGTCCCGTTAAAATCAGGTAGACAATAGCAATTATATCCCCGAATGATCGTATTATCATTAATACAAGTACTATTATTTTGACAAGGTTGACGTATATCACATATTAAAGCGGATGTATTACAATTAGAACTGATAGATAAAGGTGTTAGACAAGTAGGTAAAAAAATTGAAGATGTGGATTGTCCACCTATAAAATATCAAGACACTTTTAGTAATGTTATTATTTGTTATTGTATTTAAATATCCTATGTCGTCAAAATCGCTGTAGTTTTGACGATTAAGCACCGGTTGCAACACAGAAAGAACGACATTTTGTGATTGAAAATATTACTCTTCTATTTTTATTGTTCATAAGTAGACTTATTGATTATTACATACCATTTTGATAGGAAGTAGTTGTTGCTACAAATAAAGATTAGATTTAATAAACGTAATAAGAAAGTATAAAATATTGAATAGTACTTATGTTTAGATTTGTAGTTGATGTCAGTGTATCATTATAGACTATAACTTCATCTAAATAATTATATCTGATAATTTTATAAATATAGTTTTAAAACTTACCGCAAGAATTACTTATAAAAAGAAATTTTTGTAACCGTGAATTTCCAAAATCATCAACATAAATATTTCCATAACTATCAAAACTAAGACTCCAAGGGTGACTTAATTGATTGGATACTGAACCAATTCCATTTGTACATCCTACTATACATCGATAACCATCAGCATTTGATCCAACTATACGTTGATTATTAGAATCCAAAATAAATATCCATCAGCATCAAGTACAACACTAGTTGGACAACTGAATGTAATTGTTTCATTTGATCCATTTCCTACTACGGTTGTCATGCTTACATATTCCCATTGTAGTAATTGTACTCTATTATTTCCACAATCTGCTATATACAAATTGAAATTAATATCAACAAAGATTCCTCGAGGATTTTCCAGCATATATGGTCCGGATCCAGCAGTACCATTACCTGCGATAGTGGTCGTTGTATTTGCAGTGTTATTGGATAATTTTTTGATTACTCTATGAGCATAAACCATAGAACAATAAATATTGTCTTCGATGTCGACAAAAATGCCATAACACAAACCATTGACAAACATGGCAGGAGTACTACTACCCGCTCCATTTTGTACCCATTTATCTATTCTGCCGTTCCCATTGTTATAAACATAAACAAATATGTTAACAGTGACAAATATAGCGCCTGGATTACTCATATTAGGAGAATTATGTTTGTCGGCTCACATTTCCTTCTAACCATACTAAAATATCATTAAAGCTAGTTGCAGACATATAAACAGTGTTGTTATTATTGACAAAGAGACCTTGGGGATATAGGCCAAGGGTGGTACTATTCGCAACAGTTGTAGCGTTAGGATTCCATGTTGCATTTGAACAAAACTTTGGTTGATTATAAGAGATACCTGTAACGAAAAAACAAAAATCAATATATATCCTCAATTTCTTATTATACAATATTCAAGAATAGAATGACATTTCGAGTTTTATATTTACTGAACAAATTCTGTTAAAACTTTTGTTATATGAATCTTTTTAAAGGAAAAAGAATCTGCGAATATAATGTAAAATCTATTTACCGCATGAATTTGTTCGCAGAATAAATTTTTGAATTCGATGATTTTCAGAATCGGCGACATAAATATTTCCATAGCTATCAAAACTGAGACTCTGGGGACTATGTAATTGATTCGACGCTGTACCTGGATGATATGTACATCCAAATAAACAATAAAATCCTGATCTTCCTGATCTTATAATACAATGACCATCGAAATCTGCAATGAATAAATACCCATCAGAGTCAAGTATAACTGCTATCGGTTTGATGAATGTGAATGTTCCCGGTGCTCCAGTTCCTGCTACGGTTGTTGCGTTTGATTGTCCTGGTTTAAATAATTGAATTCTTGCATTTCCAGAATCTGCTACATACATATTCAAATTGATGTCAACAAAAATTCCTCGAGGTTGACGAAGCTGATTTGCATTATTTCCGCCAATACTAGTACCTGCAGCAATAGTCAGCGTACCATTCTCAAGTGATTGTTTAATCACGTTATTAGTTGCATCGATGGAACAATAAAGATAATTGTTGATATCGATAAAGAGACCATAACAAGCATCAGTAATATTCATGACTGTAATACCATTTATTGTATTTAATGTCCATTTATCTACTTGACCATTAAACTTACCATTATCAACATAAATATCACCATTTATCGAAGGAAAAACAGCTTGTGGTGTAATCAAACCATTAGAAATCCTTCTTATTGGAGTTCCATTTCCATTTAACCAGACTTGAACACGATTAAGATTTCCTTCTGCTATATAGATAGTATTATTGTTATCAATTGAAATGCTATACGGCTGTGTACCAATTGTATTCTGATCAGTAAATGTCACAGCATTAGAGTTCCATGTTACCGATGGACATAATTTTGGTTGATTAATAGCAAGACCTATATAAAGTAAAACCCAAATAATAAATCTTTTTAAGGTTTACTAGTAGCAAAAAGAGGGAGTCTAAATCACTTGAACATCTGAGGGCTTTCTCTCTTGAGATAATTTTATATCAGCAAAAATAATTATTTACCTAATCCTTTAACATTCATCAGTAGAACAGTCAAACAGAAAACTACGTTATATAATGCGTTCATTTTTCTTTTTACTTTTTTGATTATGATTCAATGAGTAGAGAATCGATCATAGAGTATTTTTTCAATGTGGAGGCGTTCTTTTTACTCGATAACCAGGGACAATATTAGTTTTATTATTGCGTATACTTATAAATATGATCGGAAATTAAGTAAACTTAAAAAACTATCCGTAAAAATCAATACAAAATAAGAAGAAAAAAATTTGTTATTTTATAATTTAGCATCTATTAACACTTTTTTGTTCACAAATACTCGACGAAGAAATCAATAAATTATGAATAATTAACATTCTTCGGAATAGTGGATCAAACTAAAGAAAAGAAAACAATAGAAATATTTCACTAATTCTCTTACCATCTAGCTCTTTGTCTTTCCATTATATCAATACTTTATGCAGTGAAATTTGATTTTACTATTTTATTCAGAATCGTTGGTTATTAATTATTCTTATTAAAGATTTTATAAGAAAACACTCGTAGAATAAAATAAAAAAATTCAACGCTATAGGATTTACCTATAGTAAAATATTCCTTGTATATTATTTTTACATTATTCTAATTGTATACTGATAATATATGAAAAAGTTATAACTAGTGACTATGCATAGTTACATATTTGATATTAATGAATTAAATAGTGAACAACAACAGAAAAAAATTTCAATTTGTTTACGATGATTTAAAATCTCGTTATCAATCTTATTTAGAATATAAATCAAAATTAGAATTTAAAAATCCATTAAACGATAAAGAAGAAGAAAATGAATGGTAATTTGAAAAACATAATATTAATGAAATATTTAAATTAAATTTCGATGATGTTTTCCTATTTATTTTCTTTTATTCATGATTGTGGATTATATTTTAGCGAAAATATTTCTCTTATTCAATATCTTGTTTTTATTAAAAAATTCGGTTAATGAAATCCCATACATTTCATATTTATCGGTAAGAAGCCCTTATAAAAGTACATTTTTTTACACGCATACACATCTTGAAGGTGTATAATTAATCGCTGATTTTTTCTTCTTCTTTGTAGAATCAATAATATAGCAATATATCAAGAAAATAATATTTTTTCTATTTTAATACAAAATCAGAAATTTTAATTGAGTGTGAGGGTGATAGATGAATACAGTATCCATACCCACATCCGCCCTCAAGAAAAAATAGACATAGAACAATTCATATATTTATTTAATGAACAGTTAAATATTTTCTTCAGATTCCATTTGTGAATTACGTGGTTCGATATTGTTGTCAGGTTCAATTCGATTATTTATGGAACAACACCAATATTTCCATCGTTGCCAACATTTTTTTACTAAAACATGTCTCGCTTGACGACGAAAACGTGATGAAAATATTATAAAAATATAAAAGTTGATCTAAAATAAACCAAAATCTTCCAAGTATAAATTAGAAAAGAAAATTTCCTTACTATATAATTTATAATGTAGATAGAAGTAAAAATTACTTGAATTAATCGACCAATTGCATATGCCATAGGCATACTTGGTGATATAGGAAAATTAATGGCATAGATACGATAAACATTATAAGGTAGTGTCAAACAAACAAAAACCATTACAAGTGTAAGAACCATTGCTGTTATTTGTTTGTCTAGTTTACGACGTACAATTGGTAATTGTCGTCGGACTATATGGCGAACATTATGATAAGCTAAGATACTAAATGATGATGCAATTACAATAGGCAGGAAACCAATTAAAATTGGATAAAAGAAAAATGTTGAATACTGAACCCAGACATAATTCGATAAGACACATCCCAGTGTTGGTTGAATATTATAAGAAGTGCCAAGTAGAATGCTATGAATGATCGCAAAACAAATGAATATAGATGAAACATATCGACCTAGTTTCAATGTACACATTTGTCTTAAATTGAAATGATGATTGGTCGAAAAGAATTGATCAACAACAGTGAAGCATATCATATAAATTGTAGTGAGCGTACATATTTGTCCCAATATATATCTTAATTTACACCAAATGAAAGAGCGTTCTGTAGCATCATCTCCATATATTGATGTTAACATAGTTGTGCTAATAGATAAAAACTGATAAATTAAGTTGGAAATTGATTCAATAGTTATATAGAAAGTGCATCGATTAGTTCGAAACAGTTTCAATTGAGTAAAAACGAGAAGATTCAACACATTACCAATAACTTCAAAACTAAATATAATAAAACCACTATAAATCGAGTACTGTGTAGCAAATTTGAGAATTCCATCAGATACGGACGACGATGACATGTTACTTTATTCAAAATGATATATAATTTATTGTTCGTGTTTTTCTTCCTTTGCTGGAAAATCTGGAATTTAAGATAAAAAAAAAATATGAAGCATTACAGCAGAAATTACTGTCACGATCGATAATAAAAGTCTTTAATTACTAGTATAAAAATATTTCTTTTTGCATTGATAATTTTTTGTATCTATTCAAGTCATTCAATCCGATCACAGAGAAATATCTAATAACGTAAGGTTCCGCTCTAATACTGTCGGAAATGTTATGGATTTGTATTGATCGCAAACGGATTAAATGAAAATTCCTGCATTATTATTCAATATTTCTCGAGATATCTAAAGGTTTCTTCTCTTTTAACTCGATTTAATTCTATAATGGCACAATATATATATACCAGAATCATTTCTAGAACCTGTCAATCATATATCTACGATTATCTCCAGTCTGGAGATGTAGATTAAAAAGGTTGTGAAATGTAGTTAAAAAAAGACTTGTATATGTCGCATGCCAGTTTAGAATTTAGTTGAGATAGCAATTCTCTATTATAGCGTAAATGTTGTGATAAATTAATTTACATGAATAAATTTTTTCAGTTTTTGAGGATATGAAATTATTTGCTTCAGTATGTAATTTCAAAGGCTTCGATGTTTTTTTTATGTTGTTTTAGAAAAGAAAATTTGCAAGAAATGTTTATTTTTTTTAATGTTTAGAAAATTGTTTGATTTAAAAGTCTAAATAAACAGAACGTGGTTTTTTTGTTTTGAATGAAATATTGTTGAGGTTTTTTTCAAATAACTGAGAGTTAGTACACAGAATGTTCTGAGGATATTATTCAATTAGTAAATGGATTTTATACTGAAGTTATATTTTCGTTATATTATTTGTTTTTTATTATCCTGATTCATATATCTATCTAAAATAACTGAAAAAGAAAACAAACTATTCAACATAGTAATAAAAATCTTGGTCTTTTTATTACAGAAACACATTCAAAATCTCCAGTTTCTATAGAAAGTATATCTTACAATTAGTATGCAAATCAGTATAATTATCGAAGGATTTCTTGTGTACAATAAACATTTATAAGTTGACGCTTTGATTTGCTTCTTGTGTTACATTCTGTTTATATTACAAATAAATGATTGAATTAGAATTTAGTACAATAAAATGTATCTAATTTAAATATGAACTTCATATAAAAAGGCTAACCAGAAAACTTCTCCAAGGGATATCTGACCTATGAAGGGAAATTTGACTAGTAGAAAGACGATTTTGTTTTATGAAATCATTTCTATTCATGTTTCTTCATCATATGTTCCTAATTAGGGACTGCCACCGTACGAAATCTTATAAAAAATCTGACAATAATATACTATATGATCTGTGAATATGATCAGACGAAAAAATTTGTATGAAGACAATCTTGTATGTCTTGGCGTCTTTCTTTTTTGATCTGGATAAAGAAAGAAAATGAAAAATCATTATAACAAACTATTTACATTTTCTTCTTCTTCTTGTTGTGAATTTACTATTGGTGATAGACGGCAAAAGAATATAGAATAATTTTTATTGTTTAGTCATGGTTATCTTTATGGTGGTCACTCACATGTCTTCCATACATAAGAACGAACGAGAATTAACGAAATACATAAACAAATATGTTAGGATGCTTTCTTCTCATTCTAATATATATGCTTACATACACATGTTTCTTTTCTCTGTTTTTTCCTTTCTTTACATTTCGAACTGATATAAAAGTAAATTTATCGAATTTTTTCTATCATCTTACTATTCGACTGGTGAGTTAGGCACCAAAGGACTGTTACCATGTGTGGCAGTCATTATTGTATTTTCCAATCGTACTGTGCTGATTGAACATCGATTTGATCATGAATTATATGATGAAGGAGATGAACTCGACGCAACAGATTTCTTTCATGATATTGTCAATAGTATTAAAAAAATGGCAAAAGAAAATTTAAATATTCGGTAAGTCAGTTCTTATTAATAAATACAAAACAGAATATTTTTTCCCGTCTGATTATTTTCTGAAATAAAGAGAAAAAGAACGATATAAAGTTTATTGGCCATTGAATTAACAAAATATTCCAAACTAGAAGTATATCATGATTTTACTAGTAAAACTTGATAGTCAATAGGAACTGTTCCTCTTAGTTTATCTAAAAGTTGTTCGAAAAGAGCATAAAAAAATTGTTTTGTTGTTAATTTAGTTATGTTTTCATTATCGGTGGTTATGATGATACAATACGAAAAGATTTTCAAGATTATTTGATATTGGTCCGTCAGAAATTTCTCAATGAAGATAAACATGAATCAAATCCATTAAATTCACTGCTGTTACGGTTGTATCGTACAATGAAAATTTTGAATGTAAGTTGTTCAATAGCAGAAAAAGATGAATATAACAAGAATGAACAATTTATCGATGTTTTAATTGCACATCAACAGAAAGATGATAGTTTTTATTTTTTCGTTCGACAATGTGTTCATTTAGTCGATGAGATTACAGAGGAAAAAAAAGCAATTTGTTGTGATTTTCTTCGATACAAATTGTTTGATGATAATCATACAAATTCACACGAAGATAACTTATCATTACTTGGCGCTGAATTTTACGTTAACAACAACATTGCTGAACAACATAAACAAGGTAAAATGTCAATTTTTTTAGTAGTATATTTCTCAGTACATCTCTCATATTTCAACATATTCATGATAATTATAAATTCGTTTATGAATAAGAGGGTGTGGGTGTGGATGTGCGTGAGTATGGGTGTGGGAGTGGGTGTGGGTGTGGTTTCGGTTGGGCATGTAAGATAGCAATATATTCTTAACGCTAATACTCACACCCACATCCACACCCACACCCACACCCTTAATATATTTCGCCGTCCGGAATCGAACCGAAACCATCCGATTTCTGTGATATATTTACTTTTACAGTCGGAGATCATACCATTAGACTACAGCGGGATGCTATTTCTTCATTTACTTCCCAATATGTGAGCAATTGACAAGTTTGAGACTGGCTTCGATGAGAAATGCATTATGAAACGAACAATCCATTCAGGAATATTTATTTCCTGAAACTATGGAAAAATTCATCATTGTTATGAGTTCGATCAAAATTTCTATTCTTTGTCACTCTTTCCTTTATTTGCATCCATTGTAGTATTCTTCAGATAACGACACAGTTGCAAATCAGTTATCACACTCACATCAAAACGATAAAAAATATCGATCATTTTGTATGCTAACGATTGTTGTCGAAACAAAATATTGTGTTATCCAAATTCTAATGAATATATAGAGAGAAATAGTGATTTATAGTACCATCATTGTCTCGATTCTTCAGTGACACCTCATATATAGCATTAGAATTGTTGCTATTTACCAAGGGGGAAAAAGCGAGACTTCATCTACTTCAACATGTTTTTGAAGTAGATTGAAGTACCAATGAAGTATATTGAAGTACCACTGAAGTATATTGAAGTACCAGTGAAGTATATTGAAGTACCACTGAAGTAGATTGAAGTAGAACTGAAGTAGATTGAAGTAGAACTGAAGTAGATTGAAGTACCACTGAAGTAGGTTGAAGTAGCACTGAAGTAGCACTGAAGTAGATTGAAGTAGCACTGA